TCAACTCGGGGGCTAGAGGTGATTCATTTCTAAGTGCACGTGATCCGGTACCGAGGGTTGAAAATTCGATGGTGGTCGGACATGAGTTGCGCGTCGTGCTTCAATCTCAAGTTCAGCAACTCTTCTTCTCAGCATCTCGGTTTCCGAGTTTTCACGTCGGTTGAAACGATTATCTCGATTTGACAACGTAAATCAATTGGATTATCCGCTTGTTGTGGTAACGGCTGGACAAGGGCGACAGCTCTCCAAGCATGCCCTGGGTGACTCTCTGCCATCGCCTCTTGCAAATTATTCCCCTCCGGTGGGGGTGCAACTCCTGCTGGCGGACCTTGAAGATTAACATCTTGAACGTGAGATGTAGCGTGCGACGCGGCATGATTATTATGGTTTCCCGACGGTGGTTGTGCGCCTTGTCTGACGGGTATGACTGGAGTCACAAACGGTCCTAGAGGAGCTCGTGACGTACTGGGAACAACTTACGCTAACAGAGCAGTAATCCCTTTCGCAACTTCTGGATTTTGAAGAAGCGTCGCCAGATCTGGTATCGCAGGAGTTGTGTGGACTCGACCTGTGGGTTGATTGGGGTTGATTACACTTTCCTTAGTTATCGGATGATCTTGTCTTGATTGAGACATGTTCTGAAGAGTGGAAATAACGTTGGCAGAGTTGTGGTTGTCGTTTGAACGTCAAAGATTAACCTCAAACAATTATGAAGCCCTTCTTCTAGCACCAAACTGTTGTCGTATGGATTTGTAACAACATAATTAACATTGAATTACATGATTCAAGACGTAAAATAGTAGTAATTTGGTTCTTTATTAATGGATATTGAGTCGGTGTTCATGTAACCGAGGTGGAATTGTTACAGAGTGAAAACCGAGTCCCCCACTTCTGAGGAAATATTGATCTATTTATAGTAACCTTTTCGTACACGTATTTCGACACCCCCCAATAATTCGGGATTATATGAAAAGTAGCTTTAACTGGGAGGTTATGACAGTTGAGCCCACGATCATCATGATGTTGTGCGCGAAGCGCAAAGACGTCGCGTCACCTGCTTCGGTATTGATGAATTCAATTCTATCTGAGGTTTGCCGTCATGTCGGTGGAGGGAACCCGAGAAGTCGGTGACAGCCGAAGTCGTTTGTCACGTCAGTTCTGGCGGTTCGTCACGTCGGTAATAAAGAAGCGTGGTTCCGGAGTCATGTGATGTTACAAATGGAATATCCTTATGCTGACTGAAAATATGAAATTAACTTGAAATCAATGTCATTACGACCGATTCGACCATAATTCCGCTTATCTCTTGAATAGCTCATGTATTACTAAGTCAGTGGTCAACAAATATATATATATATATATATAATACATATTTAGTTCATACGAAATGCATATTAGTTCATCTATAGTGCATAATTGTTATATTTAAATTAAATATATACATAATGCATATTTAGTTCATCATTATGCATATTTAGTTCATACGAAATGCATATTTAATTTATCCATAGTGCATATTTGTTATATTTAAAATAAATATATATATAATGAATATTTTGTTCATTCATTATGCGCGTTTAGGTAATAAGAAATGCATATTTAGTTCATCCATAGAAATATATACATAATGTATATTTACTTCATTCATTATGCATATTTAGTTTATACGAAATGCATCTTTAGTACATCTATAGTGAATGTTTGTTATATTTAAGTTAAATATATATATATATATACATTATGCATATTTAGTTTATAAGAAATGCATATTTGTAGTGCACTTTTTTTATATTTATATCAAATATAGGGATTAGTTCTAATGAGGACACATTCTTAAAATGAGGATATGAGACTCAATCCTAGCCACTAAAAGGGTATCAAGATATGTGGCCAAGATTTAACTCTTTATTTAAATTAAAAATTTTTATTTTATTTATTTTAGTTATTTAAATATTATTTTAACCATTGACCGTTGACTTCCGGTGAAAATCGTTGACTTCTAGTGAAAATCGTTGACTTACGGCGCTGGCTGTTGACTTCCGGCGTTGACCCGTTGACCATAATATGTATTGTGTATGAAGTAAATATGGTGAGGCAAAGTTAGTGTAAATATGTTGCAGAGTTATTGAAGCACAGTTAGTTGCAAAGTTAGTTCTATCTTGTTGCAGGGTTAGTTGTTTTTATTTGCAATGTGTATTTGTATTCAGTTTGTAAGGTTAGTTGTCTGTAGTTGCAAGGTTAGTTGTCTTTAGTTGCAATGTTAATTTTCTCTAGTTGCAAGGTTAGTTGTCTGTAGTTGCAGGGTTAGTTGTTTTTATTTGCAATCTTTAGTTGTATTCAGTTTGCAAGGTTAGTTGTCTGTAGTTGCAAGGTTAGTTGTCTTTAGTTGCAAGGTTAATTGTCTTTGGTTGCAAGGTTAGTTATCTATTGTTGCAAGGTTAGTTCTGTCTAGTTGCAATGTTAGTTTTCTCTAGTTGCAAGGTTAGTTGTCTGTAGTTGCAAGGGGAGTTGTCTGTAGTTGCAAGGTTAGTTGTCTGTAGTTCCAAAGAGCTATCCTCATTTTAAGAGTTATCCTCATGTTAAGAGTTGTTCTCATTTGATCCTCTCCCATCAAATATATACATAATGCATATTTAGTTCATTAATTATGCCTATTTAGGTCATACAAAATACATATTTAGTTCATGCGTAGTGCATATTTGTTATATTTAAATTAACCATATACATAATGCATATTTAGTTCATTCCTTTCGATTTGGTCTTGGCTCTTGGTTTGGATTATGCATATTTAGGTTATAAGAAATGCTTATTAGTTCATCCATAGAGCATATTTGTTATATTTAAAGTTAATATATACATAATGCATATGTAGTTCATTCATTATGCATATTTGGGGATAGGGTAATGGTCCTTAGGGCAAGCTTTGTTCATATCGCAAAAATTAATGCACATTCTCCACTTGCCCTCCCCCTTAGTCACGACAACAATGTTTGATAACCACTCAGGAAATTGTATCTCGATGACATGCCCCACCTTCAAGAGCTTATCAACCTCCTACTCGATAACTTTATGTATTTCAGCTCCATGATGTCTTCTCTTTTGCTTAATAGGTTGGGACATAGGATCATTATTCAACCTGTGCTCGATTATGCTACCCTCTATCCCTATTAACTCCTCCGTAGTAAACGCAAACACATCCTTAAATTTCCTTATCAAGTTAATGAGCTCTCTTTTCAGTGGCTTCACCAAATTTCCTCCAATCTCAAATTTTCTTCCCTCAGCACCATCGACCAACTAAACCTCGACCAACTCCTCTCCCAGTTGCATCTTCCCCTTCGTTTTTTCTTCCCTCGACCTAACTACCTCCTTACCCGAGATACTTGCACCTTGAGCTCCTTTTTTTTCAAGCTATTCACGCCCTTAGCTCCTTGCTGCCCCACCTTCACGGTCACCTGATAGCACAAGCGTGAGGCAAGCTGGTCGCCTTGGACCTCTCCCACTAGCTCGCCTGCTGGGTACTTAATCTTCATGTGGTACATGGATATCACAAATTGAAATTCATTTAAATTTGGCCTCCCCAAGATGATGTTAAAGGCATATTCAACTTTAGCAACCATAAACCACACCATCTTTATCTTTCTAGTTGGTACAGACCCCAAAGCTACTGGGAGAGTAACCTTCCCAATGGGCACGACCTCTCTTTCGTTAAATTCAACAACAATGTGTTGACTTCCTTCAGCTCCCCCATCCAAGTCCATCTATTTGAAACAATCATAAAACATCAAGTCCACTGAGTTTCCCGCGTCAATGAATATGCATTGGACCTCGTAAACCAGCGACCTCCTTAGATATCACCAGCGCATCATTGTGAGAGACATGAAATTCTTTGACATCCGCTAACCTGAGGCTTATGATAGGCTCTCTGGCTGCGAACTAACCTCCTCCTTTTTTCTTTTTGCAGCTCGAGCATGCTGCTTCCTCGCATTGTTGGAGTCCTCATCAGTAGGTCCTCTAGAAATCATATAACCCCCCCCCCCCCCTCCTCATTCTCCTTTCTTAGGAGGTGCATCGTCCTCGACCTTGACATCACGTTCTTTTGGTCGTTTTCCTTTATTGTCCCAACTCTCCCTATCTTTGTACATGAACTCCTTCAGGTGACCATCTCTAATTAACCACTTGATCTCATCCTTTAGGTGCCTGCAATTGTCCATTGTGTGTCTATAGTCTGGATGAAAATGATATTACAGATCAGATTTAGGTTGAGTTAGACACTCTCTTTCGGCTAGCTAATCTTTTTCCCATCCACACTCTTTTCCATGGTCTCCAACATCTCTGTTGGGTTCGACCTCAATGGAGTGCATTTATCGTACCTATGGCCATCCTTCACAGGCCGTCCCCTCCACCAATCCTCTCTTTTTCTATTTGACCTCTCATTTTTCGGTGAGCCTCATTTCTCCTTTTTCACCTCAGGTCGAGACAACTTCTCCAACTTAGCAAATTCATCATCTGATTCTTCAAGTTTATGTACTTGTTACATCTTGTCAACATCTCTTCATAGGTCGGCGTCGGCTTGTTAGCCAACGAACTTCTACAAGGACCTGTTCATAAGCCTCTGGTTAATCTTCCAGTCTTAACCTTCTCTGAGGCTGGAGGCACCTTAATGCATGCTCGGGTATGTTGACCAACATAGCTCTTTAGTGTCTCTCCCTACTCTTGTTGCATCGCCATCAGCGTGAGGTAGGTATTCTCTTTCGACCTAGCGCTTGCGAATTGATTAAGGAACATGTTTGAAAACTCTTCAAAATCCTTGACTGACCCCGGGGAGAGTTGGTAGAACCAATCTTGAGCTCCTCCCCTGAAGGTCGCTAAAGATGCACTACATCTCACTACATCTGAGTAGTGTAAAATAGTCATGTTCTTTTTTTTACTTTTCTTCGAAACAATAGGATTTATAACTCAAAAGAAAACCAACAATAGTACAACCGACCATGGCTAACTTGCTACACCTGCACTAAACATAAAAGGTCCACTACACAAGTGACCTTAGAACAAAACCTACAACTAAAAAGCAAGAGAAATAAAACTCAAACTCTAGCAAAGGCTAGACATAGAAATGAAAAGTTTGAATCTTAATCTTAGCCTCAACTAACAGAAACACCAAAAAGCGGCAACAAAAGATAACTTGCCAACGAACAAGAGAACCTCGCAAGCTATCAACTACAAAGAAAAACAACAAAAGAGCCTAAAGGCTAGAGAATCAAATGAATCCTGTACAACACTATTAACAACCAAGATTTCAGACCTTAAAGAATTTTAAAAGACCCAATGGTTTCTTGATTTCCAAATCCACCAAAGCAAATAGGAAGTGAATTAGATTCATTGTCAGCAGTGCTTGAAGAACTCAAAGAGCAAACTTTGAACCACCAAGACTTGAAGCAGCAGTCTCTTTGTGAAGTCCATCCCAATTCAAGCAGGACGAGGCTGCTTATATACTGCGAGTGTTCACACTAGGGGCGGTACCGTAATTACTTGATTTGTTGCGTTCACACTGCGAGTGTTCACACCTTTCCAAATAAAAAGCTTGAGTTTACCTTTGATTTTTAATCTACAATATCTTAGACTAGCTCTCTTGGCAGCTTTTTGATGAATGCTAGCATTAGCCCTATCCCACTCCTTCCACTTTTCCTCCACCAGGGCAGCATAAGTTGATGCAACAGAAAAAGAACCTTGTATTCCCTAGTCCCAAATAAGGTTGTCTTCAATGGCAGGATTCAGAAAATTAATGCTTAGGATTGCTTGATGCACTCGCTCATTGAGAATCTCCCTTAAAATGTTTTTGTCCCATCTTCTACCATTGTCTTCCAATAGCTGCTTTACCAAGGTGAAAGCCTTGCCTTTTCTGTTTATGTAGATGGGTTTAAGACCAAAAAGGTTGGGAATCCAAGGGTCTTCCCAAATTTTGTTAGAGCAAACATTGTTGTTCTTAAATCTGATGCCACAAAGAAAGTCCTCTTTTACCTTTGAGGAGTCTGCTGACCAGGAGGTTTGGTTGAGACAAAATCCTCCAAAGTTGTTTAGCTATCATGGCTTTGTTGAACTGATGAATTTCATGGAAGCCAAGTCCACCTCTGTCTCTGGGCATTGTGATATAATTCCAGTATTTCCAGTGGAGTCCTCTATTTATTAGATGTCCTAGATTCGACCAAAAATTAACAAAATACTGAGCCATCCTTTGATTGATTCCTTTTGGGAAAAGAAAGCAAGACATAGCATACGTTGATAGTGCTAGGACTGGTTAGGATCTCGAAATTATGCAAATCACGGACTATCTGTGAATTAAACTCAAAGCGCAGCGGAACTAGAAGCGAGGGTTCAACGCGTACCGTTTAATATTATGCCGACTCTGAGACATTTCTGATTTCCATTGTTGGAGATCGTCTGAGTCTCATGTCCGTTGGGCAGCCGAACTAGCCTCACCATCACCATCAGATCGCTCACCGTCTAAGTCAGATCATCCCGGACCTCTGTTGACTTGGTCAAACCTCCCAAGACTCGACTTGGTCCGGAATCGGGTGCTGGACCCTTGCTAAAACCGGTCTGGACCGTGCTGGGCCGATTCTATGCATTCTGGGCTGAATTGGAGTGTTGTCCGCGTTGCTGGGTCGCCATGGACGTCACTGGGCCGCGCTACAAGCATTTGGGCCGCGGAGGTGGGCTGGTGGCGCCATGGTGGACTGGAGACCCCGCGAGCCGGATGCGGGCCTCCTGCGGGCCGAAGATTGTGAGGCGCGCGGGCCGCGTCGTGCTGGATGCGGGATGATGCGGCACGCGTGCTTTTCTTCCTCTCCCGCTGGGCTCTCGCGCATTGAGCTTGCGCGTTGGGCCTGGTTGTGCGGCGTTGGGCCTCCTCGCATTTGGGCTGCATGCTGGCAGGCTTCCTCGTCTCCGGGGCCCCACAGAAATTTCCAACGAGATGGGCTACGACTCCAGCGGCTGCTGGTCGCGCCTGTGCAGGGCTGCGGCTTGCCAGAGCTCGTATGTCTGGCTGCCTTGTCCGGTGGTTGTCGGAACTCAACCGGAGGGTAGCCGGAAGTTGCCGATCGGCATGTGATGATCGCCGGTCAATTCCAACACATCTGTTTAACATAATTCTCGCTTTTTTTGTGAAAAAACGGACAACCCGTGAATTACACAAACATTACGGGGTTGAATATATATATATATATATATATACATATTACGAGGTTGGATAAATATATATATCGCTCGACTACCTCGGATCTTCTGTTGTATGACCCGACATCTTCTCCGATCATCTTCGTAGGTGATGAAATCAGAGATATCTCTATTGGAATTATTTGGAGAAGAAGAAGAAGAGAACACAAGAGAGAGAGAAAGAGATTAAAAAAAAAAGGGCGGCGTTTTTCTCCCAAACGTGTGACTCACGTGAATCTCATTACTCTTAATCCCAAGAGATGTGATGTATTTATAGGCTACAACAGGGACCCTAAGAAGGTATTAAATTGGGCTTTTTCTATTAGGATTAGACTATAGGCCAAGCCTACCAAACCCAAATAGAAATAATACATCCATTCTACTAAAGTAGTATTATTGAATAAATTTGGGAGCGTTTTTCTTCATCATCTGATCTACCAATCCCATCTCGGAACTGATCACTCACATTGATTCATTTTCCTTTTCATCCTTCCCAGTGCGTTCTAATTTTCTGGATGATATTCTGCTAACCAGAAGAAATTAGGGTTCATGGGGACCCCCCATTGTGTTGGACAAGACGAGGAATTGACCCAAAAGCTTCAGAGTTTCTCCCTGTCTGAAAAAGAGCATGCCTACATCGATATACGAAGGGATGACATCAAGCTCAGCGCGGATGAGTGCAACCGCAGTCTGTTTGGGAAAGTGGTCAGTGACAGGAAGACTAGCTGGATCGGGGTTAAGCGAGCAATGAGTCACGTTTGGAGATTATCCCAGGCAATGGATATAAAGGAGCTCGGACCAAACTTCTATCAATTCATATTCCAGAGTAAGGAAGACAAAGAGAAAGTAGCCAGAGGAATCAATTGGACCTATGAGAACCAGTATCTGGTTTTGACTGAATGGCAAAAAGGATTAACACCTAGTCATGAGAAATTTCAGGAATTACAATTATGGGTGCAAGCATTTAATGTCCCTCTTGACTGGTTGAGTACGGAAGTGGGGCTAAAAATTGGAAAGGTGTTCAAACAAGTTCACAATGTGGTGATAGTGGGAGCAGGAAGCCATGGTGGAAGAATTATGAGACTCTTAGTATCAGTGGATTTAAATGAAGCCTTACCACGGTGTGCCACCCTCAGGCTTGAAGATGAAACGGTGACCGTAGGTCTGAAATATGAAAAACTAGTTAATCATTGTCACTATTGTGGATTGATAGGACACCTAGACAGAGGATGTATGAAGAGAATGGAGGACATTCGAACGAAGTCTCTTAATGAGGGACAATTTGGAGCATGGATGAGAGCAACAGAAAACAGTCATTGGGCAAATATGGCTTCTGGTTCCCAAAGCACAACTGGCAATGATAATCCATCTTCTTCCCATAGAGCAACTTCTCCAAGCCCCTCAGATATGAGTCCAAAGACAGACAGCAACCAAATGTTATCCATTCAGGGAACTCCTACCAATCACAAACCACACACTGCAGAAGCCTCAACCTCTAAATCCACTCATAATCCAACTGATATTGTGGAAAACAGATTGGAGAAACACATTCCTATGGAGCTCTTACTGGAAAGTAGTCTACCTCTCTTTAACCAGCAGAACCTCAGCAAAGATATGGAAACTGAAAACCCTCAGCCGATCTCAACCTCGGTGAACCTTCTTCAACTCACCACAATACCTAAACCTAGAATGTGGAAAAGATCCTCAACTAGAATTGGCAGGCTTCAAATACAGTCCTCAGAAGCTCAATGTACAGAACCACATACTTCCTCTAAAAGAGACAGAGACATACCAGACACTCAAGACTCAGACTTTGCTAAGTTACAGAATCAACATGAAGGTGTCAAAAAGCAAAAGAAAAGCTCAAATGAGGTGGAGGCTGCCAGCCTAGAGTGGCGCCCAAGTTCCAAATGATAGCCATGGTGTGGAACTGTAGAGGGCTGGGTGGGCCCTCTACAGTTTCCCAAATCCGAGAGTCATGCAGGACTCATCACCCATCTTTTCTATTTTTGTCTGAAACAAAAAAAACAGCTGCTTTTGTAAATACAGTAGTTAGGAAGCTTGGTTTTGAAGATAGGTGTGCAATTGTTAATCCATTGGGATTAAGTGGAGGTTTTGTATTATGTTGGTCAGCTGAGGTTGATATTACTCAGATCATTAGTCACTCATTCTACATAGCGGTTGAATACAAATTCTCAGATTCAGCAACTTCATGGGGGATATTTTTTTACCTGAGCACATGTCATCTGACTAGAAAGGATCAATGGGCTGAGCTGGAAGTAGCAAGACTGAGCTGGGGGGATTCATGGCATATTATTGGAGACTGGAACGATATTTGTACAAGTGATGAAAAGAGAGGAGGCATTCCTAGAACAATGGCCAGTATGTTAGGCTTCAACTCTTTCATTGATAATATGGAGATGGATGAGATCAATATGAATGGCTACAAATATACTTGGTGCAATAATAGAATCTCAGAAGGACTTGTAGAAGCCAAGCTTGACAGGGGATTTGCATCACCAACCTGGCTAAATAACCATCCTCAAGCTGTAATTCAAAATCTAGCAAGCAGTGCCTCTGACCATTCTATGTTGCTGTTGAAGTCAGGTGATAAGAAGAACAGGAAAAAATCCAGGTTCCACTTTGATAAGAGGTGGATTTTGAAACCAGGATTTAAAGACACCATTCAACAAGCATGGAACACTCCTCATTCTGGAACCCCCTTCTTCATTCTCAAAGAAAAAGTTAGATCAACCAGAGAGGCTCTTCTGAGATGGAGTGCTGGATTTAA